ATATATATATATATATATATATATATATGTATATATATATATATATATACAGTATATAATTACTATTATTATTATTTATTATTATATATAAAATTAATATTATTATCATTATTACTATTATTATTATTACTTACCTTTTAATCTTCAAATCTTTTTTTTGTAATTCAATTTTTATTTTATAATGTTTCTTTTTACATTTTTGTTGCAATTTTGGATTACTAAGTAGGCCTATCATAGATTATGTGGTACGATTCAGTGGTAGATTCTGAATAATGCTATCAGTATTGCTATTAAATTCTTATTTTGAATAAGTCATATGGTGATCATGTGAATTTTTTTTAAATATATAAGTGTGTTTATACTTTTGAATGTGTCGCCACATTTTAGAAATCTAGGAATGAAATTCAAGTGTTCATTACAAGATGGAATGGTTATTTGTTTATTAAAAAAATTTACCTTGATACTGTATTAACTTTATAATAATATTTTATCACAGACACACTTTCAACAAAAATAAATCTTAACATGAATTTGAGTAAACTTAAAACAGCATAGGTCAGTTCGGTAAATGAGTGGCTAAGTCGTAGATCAGGGGCGGATTTAGAGGGGGGAGGCCCGGCCCCGGTTCCCATTTTGGTAGGTAAAAAAAAGAAGAAAGAAAAAAAGAACGAAAGAATAAGAAAAAATGATAGCCCAGAATGCCTCAAATGTTATTTTCGGGCGTCTAGAACACACCAATTTCGCGAGGGCATGCTCCCGGCCCCCTAGGACGTTGTTGTCTCGATCGACCCAAATTTCGCCCCCCCCCACCCTTTTGGACATCTCTGGATCCGCCCCTGTAGGTAGGCCTATCTGTGGTTCTGCTGACAACAACAATGAACAATTGTTCAGAACAATTTATAACGTAGGTCTAATTAATTCAATACAAACTGATTTATTTAATTCAATTTAGCTTTAAATCTGACTTGTTAAAAATATAATTACATTCACAATATTTCAGACATTGTTAATATAAACAAAATAATAAAAATTGAAAAACTAACAACTAAGATATTTTTCTGAAAAAAATAAAGTCATTATTTTTTTTGCGGCGCACCAGTTCGGGAAGATGTTTAGATTAGTTAGCCATGTCCATCAGGACTACCGTGCGCGATGTTTTACGTTCCTGGATAGAATAAAAAAGATTTGTCGTGCAAGATTGATGTGCAAGACTGCTACTTTAGACGACCATCTACTTCAGTGGCAGCTCTGGAGGCTCAAAGGGCTCAAAGTCGATTAAGCAGCGTTTAGAATCATAGTCTGTGGAGATCAAAATAAGTTGTACAGGAAAATCAATAATAAATTTAAAAGAATAAAACAGCCATCTAGCGGGCTATTCCTTGCCGCGGTGACTCTCGACGAAACAAAATAATTTTCCTATTTTTTAATTTTATAAATTGATTTCTTGGAAGAGCAAAAAGTTGGGTTTAATTTTACAAATTAAAGTGTACTTTTTAGTATTAACTGCTCTCATATTTACACGTCAGTCACATTAGTATATCACATCACAAGCGATCAGTGTCCGCTTTTGCTTTTAAATATAAATAAGGTTCCTTACAGTCAATCGCATTTACTTTGAGCTCAGAATGTTTCCATTTTAACAAACATAGTACGTTTATGGGCAAAACTTTAGCTCTAAGCAGAAACGCATCTAACTGCATAGAATATGTGGTACCGTAACTTATCTACTCATTCCCCTAAGTTAAGTGTGATAATTCGTTTCCTCATTAGTATTATCAGGGAACAATGTAATTTTACTGGTATTATCTATACACTTGATTTGGCTTCATCAATTCTTATTAATTTCTAAATTGATAATTTTCTGGCCTGTTTTTGACTACGGTACTTACATTGACATCTGCTTCCTGAATAGCATCGATTACAAATGCATGTATAAGAAGAGCCTGACTTTCTACAGATCCCATTCACACAGGGATTGGAAGTACATGGGTCTAAAGAACACAAGACGTAAATTATTCAAGCAATTCTTAAAAATGCTGGTAGAAAACTCAGTAAAAGGTTTTGTAAATTACATTATTTTATTTTAATAACTATTTTGGTTACAGAAAATTAAAATTGATCTGTTTAGTAAATTTCAATTAATTTGCAGTTAAATATTGTTTGTGTTTACTAAGTCTATTAATTAACATGATTGTATTTTTAAACAGATTTTAATGATGATGATGATGATAATAATAATAATAATACCAACATATTAACAGTAATATATAATAACAATATGAATCTTACATATATTGATATTAATATTGATAATTCAAATAATAATTATGATAATGGTGATGATGAATAATAATATTATATAATGATAATAAAATATTAC